TAGGGCTTGGGGGTATAGGGGTTTAGGGTTTAGGGTTTAGGGTTTACCCAAAGGCCCCATAGTAGTTCCTTTTTGGGATTACCTCATAGGATCCTAAATATAAGCCACAAAAAGGAACCTACTGTGGGGCCTATGGGTAAGTACCAATATTATTCTGCGGGTGCCTTACTATAAATATAGTAGAATGGGCCCAAAAAAGTCCTGTTCTCAAATGTAGTACCGCAGTACGTTTTTGTTGGATGACTTGCTGTACGTCTAGGATGCTACAACCGGAAAGTAAGGCAGCCAAAAAGATGTACTATATCTTCGGGTCTAGGTGGAACCCGATTCGGCCTTAAGGAGGAGACGCGCGGTGTAGAGTCCCGCAAGGAATATCGCGGCCTTAATAATTGGAATAGGGTTTGGAGGGGTATATTATACTGTAGTTATTATAGTTATGATCAGGAACCCCAAAATTTATACTGTAGTTATTATAGTTATGATCAGGAACCCCAAAAATATTACAGGTAACTATTACGTAAGGCCCCCCTGTATTACCCCTTGAAAGAGCTTCGATGGTCCTGGAGAGTTGGTATTTAAATTTAGACTACGACTGAATGAGGTCCTACGACAAAGCCAAGGCAGAGCGGGACTACCAGGCACACACATCTCAGGGCTTTTGGGGAAACATCGAACCCTAAACCCTAAACCCAAAGCCCCTAAACCCTAAACCCTAAACCCTAAACCCTAAACCCCTAAACCCTAAACCCTAAACCCCTAAACCCCTAAACCCTAACCCCTGAACCTCAAACCCCTAAACCCTAAACCTTAAAGCACTCGAAACCTGCACGGCCTCAATGCCAACACCAAAACGAGCCAATCACCCCCAGAGCCGTAACTAGACCCCAACCCGTCAGCCTTAAGCCCCACACTGCCCACATGCTACAGGGCATAATGCTTGAGGCAGGGACGTGGGACGCTCTTAACTAGCAAAATGTCGGGGAACATTCGGCAAGACTAGACTGTACAGGGATTTTGCAGACCCTAGATCTTAGAACTCAAAACAACTCCGCGCCTGCCCATGCAGAGCTACCGCCTGCCGCAACGCCGCCCGCGGAGCGCCCGCTCTGGCGGCCTAGGCTTCTCATGTGTGTTTTTGAGACCTCTTTTTCTTTTCAATACCGCTTCAGGACAGGAATACCATGGCTTCTTATGTTTAGGGTTTAGGGGGAAGTAGGGAGTTGGGATTAGGGTAAAGACTCTTCATAAGGCTTATCTCCGGTTTGATAAGGGTTGCTTCAAGGCAGTATAAGGACCTTATAGAAGGCTTTCAGCGATTCATCTTCTACACGGGATTTCAAGCGGAGCTTTTGTGGATTCAGGTCGGGATACGTTTATTCGTTTATTGACCATGGGGTTTGTGGCTTTGGCTGTCAGAGCATCCAGGGTTCATTGTTTCAGAGTCAGGGGTTCAGTTTCGGGGTGCATATAGGTTGGGGTTTCGGCTCCGGATTGAGGGCTTGCCGTCTTTGACCGTTCTAACAAAGACTGCTACACTGCCACCCTA